CATATTAAAAATCATTTCATGATCACACAATTCACAGTAAAAAAGATAATGATAAATCGACATACTTTTTAGCCATATTTCACCATACAAAAATGTTACATGACAAAAATGTCTAAAATTAGATGTAGGATATTTTTTTTAAATTGTATTATAATATAAGGATGGATTCATTATTTCTATAAGAAATATATTGGAAACTAATAAGATAAAACACTAGAAAGAAAAATAAAACCCTTTTTTATTAAAAAAAATATGCAATTTGATGGTTTTTGTAACGCACAAACATTGTATGTCAAAAAATTTAGGAAGTTAAAAATGGCCCAATATTCCTAAAAAAGAAATATATCTGTTACTTTTAAATGTTTATCAAATTAGTGAATATATACAGTAAGAAATTAAAAAAAATTGGTAATCATGCATTTTATTTTTGGTGCAATGGAAAGTCATTGACCCAAATGTATGTCAAAATCCTGTTCGTCCGTTACATGGGAATAGGATTTGTAGTGTATTAAAATACAAACATGCATATTTCTTTTGAAAAGATAATCTAACTATCTTATAAATACCCCTTTTCCAAAACATTGATATCATATGTTCTGTTCCACAGAGTTTAGCCAAAATCATCTGTATTCTATTTTTCCATGAAAATGTTAGGATATCATGTCCATTTACTGTGAAATTACCCATATATATATTACAATTACATTACAATAATTTATTGGTTTTTTTTTCTTTTTCTTTTTAACACACGAAAATAACCTGATGCATTTTGGGTGATCAATAATTTCTTTTCCTTTCTTTTTTTTTAACTTTCAAAAATCCTTCTCTGAATACGACTATTGTAACATTTATACATACAAAACTTTCTTAATTTTCCACAACAGGAACAGTCCATAATTTCTTTTCCTTTCTATATTTTAACTTTCAAAAATCCTTCTCTGAATGTTACTATTGTAACATTTATATACATACAAAACTTTCTTAATTTTCCATAACAGGGACAGATGTCCTGGCAGTTGACAGGAGGTCCAAGATTCACCGTTTTTACACATCAGATGACAGGTCGGTATATTTAGACCATGATTTCCCAAGTCGGCGTAAAAATCTAATAACGCCATGCGGGTACATCCGTCTGACACTGCTTGATCTACCCCAGATGTCGTCTGATGCACTGGGCAGACCCAAACTTATAGTGAAGCGCAGCGGACCTGTTACCAAGTAAATAGAGGTCCGATGACAAAATGCACTGTTGCGTCCTATGCTACAAGAAGACATGCGAAACGGGAAGTCAATTATATCAATCATAGCAGATGGGGGGATTTTAACACGGGACACCACACCAATTTACTGTATTATGCAAGATTGTTTGAAGAATCCGATCTAGATGCACGGATAATAACATGCTACTGTATGCTCCAGGGCAGTCAGTAACAGTACCCGACAAATTACCTAACAAAGATTAGGCTCCTTGGGACCAACAACTGACAAGAGAATGAACTGGCAGTGAAAGAAGGAAAAGTCTATGACACCGCAATGTCAAAACTCTGTTTATTACAGGCATGACATTAGGTTTGGTGGCATTCAAATCACCACATGGTTTATACCCTCTGATCAACTTGAAACCCCCTACAATGACGTATACAAAGTAATGTCATCAAAAAGCATAAAGAAGTTCCGAGACAGCGACCTCGTTGACAAGGTAACATTTATGTTAGCTCATATTGACAAGTGGAATGGGTTTCTCTCATTCATGGAATGCAGGGATGACCAATGCACGCATTGAACGGCACATCCTGTAGTCGCTAAGGAAACACTTAACATAATACGTTCAAGAGGGATTCCCATCACCAATGACCGATGAAAGTGGAACACACTTCTACATGGTGCATGATGTTTTAAAATTTGAATTATGGGATGTGAATGATACAGCATTACAGCCATCATTATGAAGGTGCCTCATCTGCCCTGCATACACATTTTGTAGCAAAGCAGAGATTATTTCTCATCGTAGGAAATATCATCCTGGAAAGGAAGTCATTAAATTTATATACAATGGCTAGATTTGTGGGTTTCTTTTATGATCAGGGCTTTCTCATTTCAGCAATCAAATGATTATGTTACGTTACCTTGTTGTAGCAAGTTTGTCTCTAATATAAGTAGGCCTAAATTTAAAACCTCTGAATGTATACATTATCAGTCATTTAATAGACATTATTTGCAAATTATACTTCAAAAAATCAAATTTTCAATCATGCTCAAGTAGTTAAAAGTCACCTCAAATCACCTTATTTTGCAAGTTAGCCCCCCACCTAAATACTGATCCCCACCTTCCCACCCCCATCAGTTCCTTTCCATTTCAAGACCCCTATGCCACTGATGCTAGGGCCTGCTAGTAGGTAAAGTTTGTAAGCCTACTACTACTATACAGAATCAGATTGTGTCCTTCAGTCAAAATACAAATGTATGTTATTTTTAACACCGGCATGGTTGTAGTGCCTTCTCTTCAAAAGAATTCCTATTCCTGCATTTTAACAAATTTGAATTCAAATAATAATAATTCAAAATTTTTTCTATACCGGTCATATGTACAGTATGCAAATTTATTTAAACTTTAATCATTAAGATTATTCCTATAGATAGAATACCCGATCGCCAGTGGAAGGTCCCAAGGTGCATGCGCACATACTCTTTTCCAGTGTTAAAATTGGCTATTCTGATGCCACCACACGGTTGTCACAATAGCAAATTTAAGCTATGCTCTGACTCCCATAGACTCACTGAATACGTGATTGGTTGATATTGAAAACAAGCCATGCGGAAAATTCTAAGCAGCTCAGAGTACTATGCGATAGGCCCAACTGTGACTTATCCTAGATACCAAAGTAGGCCAAACATTGAAAAATTTTGGTATTCCAATGAACTGTAGCAAAATTAAGGTATAGAAGATTCTGACTAAAAAATGCTAAATAAAACAGAGAAATTGTACTACTTTTTTTTTTTATTTGCTTTAGCCAGGATATGCACTGCATACCTTGTTTGCCTCGACGGTCCGCCATTGTTTCCCATATGCTTAAATTACAACTGAAAATATGTTTAAAATTCTAGTACATTACCCATATGTCTAGCTTTCTTGATCTCGCAGGAAATTTTCTTTTGTTGTCGTCTACACAGCTTTGTTATATGATGTCCATAGATATGGCCCGTATTTGGAGAGATGAATTGGGATAATAACTGAACATTCTGAAATAAACATTTTTAAAAACGGTTAAAAGGTGACATTACAAATTCAAAACTTGATATATATGGCAATCATGCCCAAAATGCAACCATCCCCACTTCGATTTGCTTTAGTAAAATACTCATCAAGTCCTCAAATTATGTACATGTCCCACTCTGCTCTTTGCTGTGTGTAGCAAGCTGTTGTTTAATACATCCTGAGGAATATATTGTTGCTAGGCTATAGCTCTTCTGAATGCAGACAACAAACCTAACAAATTTCACTTTATGCCACTGGTGAACAAAAGCCAGGCGTAGAATAGCATATGTGCCATTTTGATTCATATCTTCATAACATGTGTGAACAAAATTGGTGGCCTGACAGTACTAACTGGTAGTCTGGTAGATGTAACACAGCCTGTTCCATTCATTGATAGATAACCAATAATCGTGTCTTGGGTATTCTATCAATAAAACAGGCCCTCTCTCAACAGTACTGACATTAGCAGTTCGCCCTTGGACCATTCAGCCTTCATCAGAAACTGAAGAAACCCTGTTGGACAGCCCCAGGGCGCTTTTCGGCAAATTCAGTTGCCACCACTGTGTATCCTTAAATACACAAGTAATAGTTCTTGGGATTCTCTTTTAGGTCCACCCATTCAGATCAACTGACTGGATAAAAAAATATTACATTATTCAACTTATACCGGGTATGTTAACATTTTTGTGTTATTTATTTTGATATTTTTTCTGTTTTCTTTCTTACACAGCTTCTCTCATTCCGGTATGGCTTTTTGCTGCTAAGAAGCAATGGATATTATCCAAGATAAATATATAAGAAACCAATGTAGTCACCAACCTTATAAGTAACTGGAACTCTGTTTTGGCATAAAATGCACTTTGGTTTCTCCCCTACATATGGATCATTCATGTCAGACTTAGGCTAGAAAATAATAAGAGAGTTTCAAATGACTACACATAAAGGCAGCTACCTCCATCACCAGGCAACTTACCACTGATGCCACAGCAGCAATTTTTGAAAGATAAAAAAAAATTTTGAAAGATTAAAAAAAAAAAAAAAAAAGGAACCCTCAAGAAACCCAATTGGGTTTGTAAGAGAGACCAGAATAGAGTAAACAAAAATGATAAAATGTAATGAAAGAAATCTGAAGAAAAGGTATACAAAATTGACACAAAACACACCTCTTAATCTAACTTAATTAGATATGAAAATTTGAAAAAAGCACACCAGTACAAATAAAGCAGCAACAACAATCAACAGCAACAGCAGCAGCAACAACAATGATAAAAATAATATACAGTAGAACCCCTCATTTACGTACGGGACAGGCCCAGAGGCGTTTGTAAAAACCATTCGTACGTAAAATCGGGCTTGTGTGAAATTCCTATGTATTTACACTACTAATATGATAGGCTGGGCTAGGCTAGGCCTGGACTTGAATTTTGTTAGATTGGAACCAAAACTCCAACTTGTGCTCGAACAGTACTATACATACTTGTTAATATGTATACAAACTTTATTAATAGGCCTATATGACTTATCTTCTAGCTTACGAAGAAACACAGCCCTGCGGGCGCCGCAACAGGGCGAGTAACTCAACAACGTTTTTCACTCTTCACATTAAAAACTTAGGTTTAAAATATGGTCTTAGTTAAAAATAGAATAAGCTTACATAATCAACATTGTCATCAGCCTGAGATGTTACAGCATTCCTTCCAGTGGCCATAGACGATGTGTGTATCAGCCTGGAGAATCCAGTCATTTTCAAACCTACAAAAAAAAAAAAAAAATACCAAAAATAATATTAATAATAAAAGTCCCTTTGTTTGCTTGCCTGGAATTTTTTCATACCTTGTTGCTACGAAGCAGCCAATTCATATTCTTGACAGCAATTTGACCTCTGAAAGGTCACTGTTGTCAAAAAACAAGGGCCTAAGACGACTGAAAAGCGGAGTTTCCTTCTTTCGTCCTGCCGGGTAAAATCAATTACTTTAGGCGACGTTTGTAGACTAACCTACACGTACCAACGTCCGCATGTTGCGACGCTCGAGTTTTACTATTCAGCGTTTTTACTATATTTCTAGGTTTCCTATTTGTACGTTTAATCGGCCCATGTCTCAGCCACAATATTTTGAGGCCAATATTATTTACGAACCCAGTTAACCTTATTTACTAGCCTATTTCAGCATGCTAATTATTACATTTAGGCGACGCTTGTTGTAGACTGGCATACACGGTACCAACGCTAATTTTTACTATGTTCCTACGTCAGCTCGAGATGCTTGAATATTACAATTCAGCGTTTTTACTATAACCATGGGCGGTATAAATGTCAACTCAGCCCAAGTCTCGGCACAGTATTTTGAGGCCTATAGTATTTACGAACCCAGTTAAACTTATTTATGTCAACGTGCTAATTATTACATTTTAAAACAATAATTAAAAATATATTATACTAGGGGACCGCGAAACTGTGGCCAAGTTGACTTGGTGCCGAGCTGACTCGAATTCGATCATGCTTACGTTGTGTGGTGCGTTGGCAGTCAACTCGCCTCTACAAACTCGCCCCTAGAAAATTTGCCGCCTTGAAAACTCTCCATACTAAATCATCTCACCAAATAAAAAATCCTACTCTAGGCCTAGACTAGCTAGGATGGCATAGGCCTAGCCTTGAAGGGACGAAGTTCCCAATGAAAAACAACGTCGCTCCTTGAGCTAACATTGTCTATTTAACATCACAATAATTCATTATAGACCTATAGTTGTTTTTTGAATTGTACTCCACAAATCTCAGCTGAGTGATACCTTGAACAACTCGTTAACGTATCTATTGTCGTGACGTCATGGCTCGCTGGCTCACACTTGTGATGTCTCGCACTTGTGATCAAATAACACGCTGGCTCGCACTTTGGCAACACTCTTTGGCAGTCAACTTTCCCCTAGAAAACCCGCCCTTGGAAACTTTCCCCATAAAAAAATGTACACTTCCTAGACCATTCAGTCTTCAAAATAAAAATTGTAAACTTTGGTAATCAACTACATTTTCCACATACATAGAAATTTTTGAAACTTTATTAAAAAAAACCTAGAAAAATAATTCACCACTTTAGAAACTTTCTGACAAAAATGAAAAATTACAACTTTGTCACCCAATGAGAAGTGTTCTAATATAGACAATAGGTCGTGTCTCATTATTTGTTATATTTATTATTCATTATTTTCACTTGACTCGCATAAATAATCGAAGAACATATGCAATTGTACTTCGCAGCACTTCACTTGCAATTTGCAATTTCTAGTTTAGCGAATTTAGTTTTAAAGATTGTCACAGGAGCTTGAAAAAGTAAAATATAATATTGTTTTCTTACTAATACTTAGCATGGTTTTTACAAAGGCATCCAGGCAGGAGAATATATGAATAAAGTTGTGTTGGTGAATTATGTAAACAGTGTAGATTATAATGGGACTGATGCTTCAAATTTATATTTACAGACGAAATATAGATATCTTATTTTGGGAGATTTCAAGGGAGCAGCAGACATAATTTTATTTTTCTTTTAATTAGAAATTTTCATTTTTTTTTTATTTATTTTTTTTTTGTGGAGGTGGATGTGTTAACTGGCCAAAAATAAAATTTGATTTATATTTGAAGTCATCATTAATGGCAAGCGGCAGATCTGCTAATAAACAACAAGGTACCAACAAAATCTTGTCTATATTATGACTGAGCAATTCAGGAACATTTTTTGGCAGTTGGTGCAGGTGTACTGTACATTTTCACTTTCATTTCAACATCCATCCAGAATTTCATAAAAAGCAAATCCAGCAGGATTGTTCTAGCTTTGAAACGCACTAAATGCCATAAAATATAACATGTATAGAAGAGTCTTAGTGAACACTTCAGCAGACAATTACAATTCAGAGCTGACCTAACAAGCATTATACTCTAAAAGCCATTCTCTCCTGGTCAAAATTGCAATATCTTTCATACTGTCCATTTTTTACACGAATATAATATTTTTAATTTGTTATAAATACTGTCATGTCTTTCAGTTTTGTGTAAGTTACTGTAAGAAAAAATTTTGTGATGTATTTATATGATCATGAATAAATGAATGTTGAGTCTTAAATCCTGTGGGAGTGAGTTTTGATGATCCTTTCACTGTTTTGAAAATGTTTTCTTCATGCACTGATAAAAACCAGCTTTTTCTATTTTTGGCTCGGGGATGTGCACAACCTAATGATACTGATTTAAAGGCTCGTTTATAATAACCGAACACCCCTCACTTTCTATGCGAACCTGTTAGTGGCTGAACAAGAGACTCATCTAATGTCGTTCCTTGAGCCTTTAATAGTAGGTCTAGAATATTCCTATTAAACGTTCAGTTTGTTTAGTTATTTGGGTTCATTGATTCAAAAAATTCCTTAATTGTTCATACTTAATATTGAATTTGAAATAACTTTCTTCGGGTTCTAATAACCTTGCTTTACAAAAGTAATTTTCAATTTTTTTTTGCACACGAACCCAAAATAAATCAAGCCAAGCGTCCACTAATTGAAAAATTAGTGGACTGTGGGGGATAGGCAAATAACTTTGGGAGTTGCAGTAATGATGTCACAACTAACTTATTTTAGAATGATGTTGACTAGTGTAAAGATGACACAAACTCAACAGCTAATTTTGAATATATTGCAATTTATTAAACAAATGAAAATACAAAGTTGAATATCAAAATTCGGAGAGAGAAAACAAAGTGATGCTTATCCTATGAAAATGGGAAACCAACTGACCTATAAGTAGGGATTTTTTTTATAAATTGGAATTAAAGGGGCGTGAAAGGTAGGTCAAGTTAACCTGTGCATACCAATGTCATGACCAAAACACATCAGTTGTCACTGGTATTTAGCAAAGCTAATAAATTGGGCCTAGGTAACTGTACCAAGGTTATTACCATTATAATAATAATAATAATAATAATATTGTAGTTTTGTATAGCGCACAAATCCATCTAATGTAAGATGCTCAGGGCGCTTGAAATGTGGACTAGGAACTCGATCAATGACTTTCTTCGCCCCTACCCCTTCGTGTCTGTGCTACCCGGTAACCCGGTACTAGCAACTCTCGTCGTCCACCACAGGGGCTGTCTGTTCCAGTACACCAGGGTATCCCTCTACTTGTCTCGAAGGATGTACTTGGTTTATTATAGTGCACACAAGCCATTGTATTCACCAGGGAGTTGTTATTTAGAAGGAGTCACAACACATATCTACTTATCTACAGCCAATGAGCGAAGCGCGGTGTACTGAATCTTCAAAGAGAACCGTTATTAACTGCCTGTCTTTTGTCAATAGGGTACTTTTCCGACGATCTTGCGCCCACAGTTGTTAAAATTTTGTCTTTGTAGAGAAAATAATTTCGTGACAAACGACCAGTAGAGCATGCGCAGAGTTTTTTTTATTCAATTTTCGCTGTTCAATAAATTTGCATCTCAAGAGAGTTTTACGAAGAACAATTTACAAAAAACAGCATAAAAATTCGCCTTTTCTTTAAAAAGTTACGACTATTTGAAGTGGAGCTATATGTGTTTGTTCGTACACCGTCATTTGTAATTTTCATGGGTTTTTGATAAGTTTTAATGCTTATATTTTATATTTTCCGGACGTATCTCCGTTTTATAACTAGGACAAATAGTTTATGCAACTTGTTAACTATCATTTTCTTTATGTCTCATTTTCTTACAGTTTCGTACAGAAACGTAATTTGAGTTCAAACTGAACATGTTTTCGTAGTAGGGAAATGATATAGGGCATATTTGTTGTATCGGTTTGAGGCTAGCATGTAGTTGATAACTGACACTCTCTCTAGTTGCCATGCTTTTTCGTCACGCACAAGCAGGTTTTCTGCGCATGCTCATATTCGGTAATTGAACCTCGTTGTTATCTACCTCTCTGCTTTCTTATCTTGTCGGAAAAGTAGACTGATCAAAAGAGAGGATTTTGTTGTGACTCTTTCTAATTAACAACTCCCTGTATACACTAGCTAGGCCTACAGATATCCGAGAAAACTTGTTCTACCACCAGGTTATATAGGTTAGAAATATTGAGAATTCATATGGGATCAAAACAATACAGGAAATAAAGTTCAGTACTGTACTTGAATGATGGTAATTTATAAATTTAAACATTACAATATTAATATGCCTAGGCCTAGGGGGCTTAGGCCCTCTAGGCCTAGCCTAGCTAGGATTGATCAAGTTTTTTGCAAGAAAATGTGTACTAAAGGAAAAGTGCATTATTGTCCATTCTCTATGGCACAAAGAGATAAATAAAACGGTTTAAGGCCTATCTATGGCTAGGCTACTACTACTAGGTAGGCCTAGGGGGAATTCGGCCTAGGCCTACCCCCAGGTCCCTTCATACAACTAGGCCTAGGCCTAGCCTAAATGCATACTATAATAAACGTCCTAGCTAGGCCTACACACGAAATATCTTGGGTGCTCTCTATCTAAAGTAACAACAATATTAATTTATGAAAATAAATTAAAACACTTACATTTTCTTGTTATTCTCCAGCCAACTAGGCCTAGGTCGAATTGCTGAAACATGTTCAAGCAAGTTCAAGTAGGCCTAGACCTCCCTTTCCACCCACATGCAACAGCCCTTCGCAACGGTAGTGGCTATCAGCACTGCCGCAGTGCCAAAAAGCTGCCGTTTTCTATCGACACTGCCGCAGTGCCAAAAAGTTGCTGTTTTCTATGGTAGTGGCTATCGGAACTGCCGCAGTGCCGACATCGGTATAATTCATAATTCATAATTTTATTTCACTCAAAACGTAATGAGACTGATTAGACAAAAATATGTCCCTGTACAAGATGCCTTCCAGAGAAACAATGATAATGTTAATGGCAAAGACATAATAATAATAACAATAATAATAATAATAATAATAATAATAATAATAATAACAATAATAATAATAATACAGATAATAATAATAATAATAATAATAATAATAATAATAATAATAATAATAATAGTAATAATAATAATAAATGAATAAATAAATAAATAATAATAAAAAGTGAATGATAATAATAATAATGAATGAAGATCAAAATATATCATTGAAGTGAATTCAGTTATTTATTAAAACAAGATTTGGAGGGCTGGACTGTCATGAAGGTGTTCTATTAATGATGTTCTAAATATTTGCCTTTATTATATCAATAATTGATTAGGTCTACCTTGGCCTATATTATTATTATTAACATTATATTATATTTGTTTAACAATTAGTTTAAAAAATTATTTCTAATTAAATTATTAAATGTATACAATATATATTATATAGGCCTAAGCATATACATAAAACAAAAATTAAACAAACAACAACAACAATAATAATAATAATAATAATAATAATTTTACGATAGTTTGATTAATGAAATAATAATCAGCATATTAAATAAAATTCCGTCCATGCAAAACCTGCTTTTAAATAAAAACGTTATCTATTTGATTCTGTTTTAAAAAATAATCTTATAAATTATAAGTTTATTTTCTGCCATAATTTTATGCACATATGCATATTCATGTTTTCAATGTTAATCTGGTTGATAAATAATATATTTAAAAAAATAAATAATAATAATAATAAGAATAATAAAGGTGCTCGAATAATGCTTTAGTGAATAATTAATAATACTTCAATAATGCTTCAATAGGCCAATTTATGATAGTGTGATTAATGAGATAATTGTTGATTAATTTATATAAATATAATACGTAGGCCTATATTCCATTAATAATGACAGCATATTAAATCAACAATACGTTGTAAATATAAAATTTGTTTGGTTTTTATTTTCAATAAAATTTTACCTATTTTAATCTGTTTCCAAAAAATATTAAATTATAATATATACATATATATATATGTGTG